AGGAGGGCTAGACTACATGTCCCTTGGGTACAAGAACCCATAACCTATTACTTAGTCAAGCGATGTGGAAAAAGTGGGACCTTCAGAGAAGTGATTGATGAAAGTTAACCCCGTCAAATGCAGGGTTATGGATCAGTGCAAAACGGGACATAAATCACTTCCAAATGGCCTTACCTACCACTGTTAGATCAGGCTGATACACACTTTGCTCTCTCTGCTTCCACTATCTTTATTTCTCAATCTATTTACCATTTTAGGTATTTTTGTAGAAGTAGTGACATTTTGCCGAGAAAAACAGTGCCATTCTTAGCTTACGTGAAGAAAGGCACGTAAGCTATGTTAATATCCTCAAAACAAGCAAGAATATTTTTGATTTCATGTTTTAAATGTTATCTGCAATAAACTAAACTTGAATATTTAAAAAGTGACAAAGTACAGAAAATACTGTTAAGATTTACAATATTTGAAGGATTGTTGTACACATAAAGAACGATTTAATACAGTATAGGCTTGTTTGACAAAAAGGAATTCAAGGACAAACTTTCATTTTAAATTGTCAATCAATCATTTTGAGTTTTTGAAGCGAGTTCTCGGTCTTTGAGGAACAGCTCTGTTTGGCTCTAGTTTGAAAAAGGTCTGTTCCTTTGCAGCAAGAAAACAATTGAGTATAAAAAAAAGCCATAATCTATTCTGAGCTACCTTGACAAGAATTCCCCCATGACCGCTAACGTCTTTTTCATAAGCTCTGCACATTTTTCCACTGAATAAATACAGCGTGTCGCTTGTTTCTCGCACGCAGTACAACAAACCCAAAACTCCTGGAGCCATAAGAAAGAAAATGCTTTTTTTTAGGATATCTGTTGCTTGTATGTTCTATTGCTTGTGTCATCATGTGTGTGTCACTGGATTGTCCTGTATAAACCCCACAGGCTTCTTGTTAGTGTGAAATGCAGTCGAACAAAGGCGACATTCTGTTAAGAGGTTTAATATACCCTGGTGACGTGAGCCACAACAGAGTGTAAAAATCTCCAGAAAGCTCATTTGATTGGAGTGTTAAGCTGTTAAAAATAATTAGCCCCCCTCCCCTCTTGTTATCCAGTATCTAGCCTGCTAGTTACACACACAAAAGACTGGCCACCAGCCATTCCCGTGTCTGGCCTTTGCCTCATTCATCCTAACTATGCTGACATGGGGCAACATTTTCCAGGCTGCTTAACAGCCTAAAGTTTTACAATGGGAAAGTATTTTCTGCAACAAAAACATTGCCACTGGTCATAATGTGTGCATTACCTAAATGACTGTCAGCAGGCTTTTATGACTATTTTGCTTTGTTCGCCTTGAGAATTACAGCTCCTTTTGTCGAACAAATATAGTCAATAATAGCTTCAAATTGTTAGATATCCTGCCTCCTGAGTTAAAACAAACATCCCTGAGCAGATATGGAAATCTTTTTATGACTGTCTGTTCACTAACAGTCCTATGTGTGATTCACACCAGAGTCTCACATTCATGGATCAAACAATGCCAGTAAATTTTTCATCGCACCACATGTGCACATGGGCTGTTGGCACATACATCCAGACCCCAGGGGTCCAACACCAACCCCCACCCCCTTCATACCTCCTCCAGTTGGACCGTGTCTGTCTGACAGCAAACCACCGGCCCTGTGCAGTGAATAGGTGGTCAGCTTTGGACCGAGGCTGCAGTCGGCCACACATCGCATGCAGCTGTTACAAAATGGACAGTCAAGCCATGTAACACAATACCTAAAAATGACCTCATTCAGTCTCAGCTAGTTAAAGTCAAAGCTGACACAATTTCCTTCAAAAGTCCTGGCAGCCAGGCTGACGGTTCGGTTTATAAAGCCTGAGACGCAAAGTGCCAAGGCTTCTACCCCAAACTACTGATAGCCCAGTTGGCAGGGGAGATATTGTGTTATTGTGTGTGGTTTGCATGGATGTTATAGCAGACACAGAGAATAAAATACGAAATCCATAGGCGCTATGTGCTAGAGTACTTTTCCCAGTATAGTTCCGATATAGTTCCGAAAATGTGCGTTCACACCAGAAAAATCCGGGACTAGAACTTAGTTCATGAGAACCTTTTCCCCCCCTGCTAGAGAGCAGGTACTTTCATGGGAGAAAAAGGTTCCCATTTCTGATTGGCTGGGCGGATTGCAAACCACGCCCCGTAAACGTCCCAAAAACTTTTGTGAAGCGGCCATTTTATTATCCTCGAATTAGCAGCATTAGCATTAGCCCAGCGCACAAACGCAGAGAGACTAACTTATGGCAACACAAAAGAAAACATGGGAGCGGTGGAGCGGTGGAGATGAGGAGGTGTCGGCGTTCAGCCAGTCCCCAACTCCGGGGACTTCCAGCCGGGAACTTCGGGTGGCAGTATACGCCGTGAAGTTCTTTGCAGCCTGCCAGTAAACCCATAGCAGAAGAAGAAGTGACGTCAGCGTCTTCATTTGACTAATCCTCCCAGGGACTTATTCCGGTATGAACGCGATCTGCTCTTTAGAGAACTAACTACGGCAAAGTACTTGGTGTGAAAGCGCCTCATACTGTTTCAAGGCCAATTGTTCTACAATAGAATGGATGGGTTATTATGTGAGGCAATAGGAGGTGTGTATGTGTGAGGTAACGATTTGAGTTTACCTCCTACTGAAACAATTTTGACTGTTGTAGTGATCACTAATTTACTCATGTTACATAATTCACTCATGGAACTACAGGTTGGGGGTATTGTTTCCACACGGACACATATGATGTTGACTACTTAGTGTGTGCCCCCCCTCTCTTCTTTCTCTTGTCTTCCCGGGCTGCGACCTGACAATATGTGGTTTTCGGGTTTTCGCCTGCTTAATAAAGCCAACTTTGCACCTTGCACCGCCTTTGACTCCCTTGTCTCGGCACTGGTGACCCTGACATAAGTCTCGCAGAAGTTTCCGAGACTGGACCGAACATGGCTAGAAACGCCGTTTTTCGCAAACTGCCGGAGATTTTTGGAGACGTCGGTGGCTGCCTCGTGCACACGGACTGAGGCTCGGTGCGCCCTCCGCGGAATGGCCGATTCGCCATTCCCACATCGTTTCGGCACTGGGAGACAGCAAGCCTTCCGACCACATGGAGACGATACACGACCTACGGAAGGGCCCGACTTCTTTTTCATGGAGCTGTTTCTTCGGGACATGCGGCTGCGCTCGGTAACACGGCTAGTGTGGAGCCCCGCGCTTTAGCCGAAGAAGCTGACCAGTTCTTCATGGCCGCCCGGCGATCTACCCCTGGGGTGCTGGCCACTACACGCAGCGGCACCTTCCCTGGTGGTGGCACGTCGCCTAGCAGAGGCTCCGAGGCCGACGACATCGACTAACGGCTACCGGCTTACAGCTAGCGGCCGTCGACACCGGCTAACAGCTAACCACGACAGCTAACGGCTAGCAGCTAACAACGACGGCTAACAACGGCTGGCTGCTTCCATGTGTTAACATCTGACTGTTAACCCTTGTTAGTGGTGCCGGATAGGAGGTTCGACCAGGCCTGGTTGACCTTGTGTGGATCCTCTCACATTTTCGCCCACCTGTTTTTGACCGTGTACAGGACGACCCTTTTGAGCTTTTTCCGGTGCCTGAGAGGAGGTTCGATCAGACGGTCGACCTCGTGTGGACACTCGCTTTTTCTTTTCTTTTTTAGTGTGTGCTCCCCTTTTTTCTTTCTCTTGTCTTCCCGGGCTGCGACCCAACAACATGTGGTTTTCTCCTGCTTAATAAAGCCAACTTTGCACCTTCGATGCACCGCCTTTGACTCCCTTCTCTCGGCACTACACTGAAAACATTTTTGAGAACAGATGAATTAAGAAGTTTGATGGTTCTGCTTGTTGCTCTTTTGACAGCCATACAGACAGCTATCGGAAATGTGAAAAACTGGAACAAAAGATTATCTCCATGTATTACCACAAACTCTTCATTCTATTCCTCATGGAATACAGTTCAAGCAAGAAGATCAGCTGTGCATATGCAGACGGATGAACAGCTTGCACAGACCACAGACAACAGGAACTAAAGAACAGTATCAAATACATGTGTATTTGTAATTAAAAAATGACTAAAACATATTCATTAAAATGGTTTGTGTCTTTGGTCACTGTTGATGTTGCATGAGGTTGGAGAACTCCACTCAGGTGAGACAGCCTGTGGTTGTGTGAAGCTTTGCTACCATCTACTGGTGAGTAACCAATATGCATTACAATATTCACCAAAAAGTTCACCAAACATTAGTTCAGTTCAATCAAAGTTAATACAACTGTTTTAAACTCTAAACTATTATATTTAAAATAATCACTTGTAAAATGCATTTCAACAAACATTATAATTCTCTTTATTCATTAATTAAAATATAGGCAACAAATTAACTGTTTTTTCTTTTACAGAGATCATTTTGCCATGTCATAGTAAGAAAAGCACAGGTGTAAATATTACATTATGGATGTCTGAATTCCATTTACCTTTTGGTGCAGGCTCTCAGTAACACTGTCGGGGCTGACTGGGGCACTTGGAGCCATCGTTAATGATATCAGTAACACCTGTGCTTTCCCACAATGACATGTCTTTATGCGTCCTGTGAAAAAGGCACATTCTCCAAGGCAGTAGTTCATCAGTCAACACTATTAATTGCATTAGTGTACCAAACATGGAGAAAACTTTCAGAAAACAATCTGATGAAGCTTGGCACGAATGTTGTGTAGATTGTGTAAGCAACAGGAACCCCATCATAAACTACACTGTTAGTCCCATTGAGTGTGACAGTAAAAACGCCATGCACTATTCCATGAAAAGTAGAAATATGGAAGCCAGTCATTTTTCTGAATTTAAACCTGAGCTTTTGCTACTGTGACATGTCAAAATATCAAACTTTTTTTCCCTTTTTTTATCAAAGGGACATTTTCGCTTCAGGGATGGTTTAATAAGCAGAAAGGACAAATAAACTGGATCTAAATTATTCAACCTAAAAAACATTCTCAAACACATATGCAAAAATGACAAATGTCCAACCTTAAAGTCCTTACTAGATCATAATAGGCCTACATTTTTGTATCTAGAATGTTTAAATGACTGCAGAAAAAGCTTACTTTTCCTGCATTTTAACGGGCCCCGTCCGTCCNCTGTGGAAGCCGTAGCGCTGTAAAAAGCACGACCAATCATTTTAGCCGGCCCGGCTAAAATAACTGGATGGCCTACCTGCCTGTCAGCCTTCCATCTGTGCACAAACTTATCTCGTGCCCTCATTGGTCATGTGCGCGTTCTTGTGTGTTGGAGGAGGGGCTCTGTAAGGAAGTGGCAGATTTGTTCCGGTTTTGTATTTTCTAATTCTAGCGCACTCGAGCTGGTTTCTCCAAAATGACCTACCCCACCTTTAACTCTGTATCGCTCGCTATCCTGTGTTAACCTTGGATTTTCCAAAATGTCAACTTTTTTATGAGCTACGAAAAAGAGCCCTGTGTTCTGCATTGTGAACGTTTTCTGCTACTCAAGTGGGTTCTAAAATGATAACTAAAAGGTTGGAGAACTTATGCAACCTAAAAAGTAACAGCTTCTCAAATGTGAGGATTTGCTGCTTTTCTTTGTTTTATAGCCTTTTAAATTAAATACTTTGGTAGTTTTGCGCTGTTTTTTATTCATGTACTTTTTTTTAATGTATTTTTTCTTTTAATGTTTCTTTTATCATCTTTTCTTTTTAATGACTGTTTTTAAATGCCTTTGTCTGAATGTCTTTCATTTTGTAAAGCACCTTGAATTGCCTTGTGTTGAAAGCATAGGTTGAAAGGTGCTATATAAATAAACTTGCCTTGCCTTAAAGAAATGCAAACTGAGACGTCTTTCGGCTTTGAGATTTTACGATGAGCATTTTCCACTCAGCATCTTTATTAGATGTGTATTTTTATCAGAACAAAACTCATTCTTTATTCCTACCTGTGACCATTGCCCTGAAGTCCACAGCAGGCAGGGAGCTGCTTTGCAGGCCTGGTGTGATGCTGGCTGGGACGATGGCTCACAGTAGTCGTCCTGGACGGGGGTCATCGCTGCGTCCATGCACCCCACCTTCCTGCTTCTCATGCCTTCTCCACACGTTGCATTGCACTAAGAGGAAACAGTAACATGTCAGGAAGTGAGAGAAGAAGAGTTGGCAGAGGGGGGGCAGTGTTGTACTTTCAGCAACAACATCATCATTGACTTCTCATACTCCTGCCTCTTTAGCTTTCCAAATGTACACCCCACCCTTAGTATTTAAAGGTTTAGGGAAATGAATTGTCTGCAACATTAGCTCTCAAGAAGCAGAATACCAAACATGTGCTGTGGTTGAATATAAAAGATAAAGTTATTTCTCTCAGGCCCAGTACTGTTTAGTAGGAACATTTAAAAGTAATGATTTTGGCCAGAATCTTAAAACGAATGTATCTAAATAGTCAGCTGTGTGAGGATCTTCAGGGCTAAACTGTAAAAGAAACAAGGCTGTGAGTTCTCGAGGCAACACAGACAGGAATTTGAACACTGCAAACATTCTGCAGCAGGAGTACACGGCGCTATCTCCCTACATGGTGCCCCTCTTTATGCCTCACTTTCGAGGACAAAGCCCGGGACATTAAAGAAAGATGAGCAAAGCAAAAGGCCGTCTGCTAGCGTGACACAGAACCGTGATATTCAGCAGGACAAAAGCCAAGATGGCCATCGGTACTTGGTGGTTTGATGTGATTTTACCGACTGATGTTATCACTAAAGCCCACACGATAGATGTGAGAGAGTAAGGGTTCTTGCAGGTCTTCCTTTTAACGGTGCAGAGGAAGAAAGAGCTGAGTTCTCAGCCAATAAAAACCTTAATGGGGTGGTTAGACATCTGTTCATGGGAGACTTGTAAATAGGAAGAGAGAGAAGGAATGAGTCTGTACTTACGTCTTCCCATTCACCAGCGACCCAAGTGTAATGTGTGCATTCTGCAGCTTGGCATGGCTGGACAATGGAAAGACGCTGCTGAGCATCACATAGATCCTCTCTGACTCGCCCAGTGCCTTTCAGTCTGCAGTAAACATCTCGGTTCTGAGATCCCACTCCACAAGTGACGGAGCACTAGGAAAGCAGACACAGGAGAAACATCTTGGTGAGAAAAAAGCAGAAAGCGACACTTGTAAATGACATACATGTGTGCTCCTGTGCTACTCATACTGCCCTGTACACAGCCACACATATACCGGTAGTAAGAGGTTTTATTTCCAACCTCATTTCTTTCATGGGACCAATTTTATAGTAACACTCCACTGATGGCACACATTAACTTCAGTTTTCCCCTCATGAGGAGTGCACTTGGAGACTGAGTTGTTCACAGAAAGTCTGCAATAGAAAACTTAAAGACGGGGTTAAATGGGGTCTGATTAACATTAAGGCAAATGACATGAATACATTCAATCCACTGTTTTTGTAGTTTGACAAATACAATTGTTCAATCTCGGGGTGTTGGCCTCCGCTGCTGTATTTGCCCCATATGTATCCGAGTGGCTTACAACGACACTGCAACAAGAAAAATCCTCTGTTGCCCGAAACCAATTTACTAATTTACCCAAATTATTAAAGACAGTATGTAACTGCCAACAAGCACACATATTAATCTTAGTATTTAGAATGTCATGGACAACTAATATTGTTGTTGTATGGTTTAAGAAGCTTAAGGAAAGACATGAATCTGCAGATGGGTTAGCATCTTTTCATGAAATGAATGGGCAATAAATCCAGTGTGGAATATGTTTTCTACTGAAATCTGGGGTGTGCTTGAATAAAGTAAAAAAGGCAGTAAACTATCTCAGTAATGTAACTATTATGTAGTAACGTAACTATAAGCTACTGGTCATAACAAACCAAAAAGATCTGCAACAACAAACCACTGTGTGTTTTTAATTAAGTAAGCTTCCGTTGTATTGCTTAAGATTTCAAGTTGTCATTTTCAAGAGAGAAATTGCTTCAAAAGTTCCATAGACTTTCTTTTATGTGGCAATAATTGAAAATGTTTGCTTGGACTTCAGTGTCAGATTTACTGCTTTGATGCGACCGAAATGATGTACTTATTAATAAATCCAAAGCCAGTTTGTCGCTTCCGTGTAAGAAGTATATCTGGGGTCACACAAAGGTCTATCTGAAACATCTCTTTGATGTGCTTTGAGAAGCATACCTGCATACTGAGGAAGCACTCTGTAAGGCTTGAGCTGATCAGCCTGATTTCCCTCCACGTCTCCTACAGACCTCAAAGAACTGTGCCAGGCCTCAGCGATTTCACACACTCAGAGAATCTGTGTGCTATACAGCGAGTATCAAGTTCCCCAAAAACGTCCAGATGTATCTGTGTTGTTAGTTTCTCGCTGCAATTGTGTGTTATCATTACAGAGTGTGTGGTGGAGTCTGAAGGGTCAAGGTCTTGAGTTTGGAAAGAGAACAAAAAGCACCACAGGAAATCTGACCTTCAAATAAATAAAATGGCTTTTTTTTTTTTAAATCTTACAAAATAAAACCTGCTGTTAAAATGATTATACTCGCTGCTACAGCAACCGGATTCTGTTTTCGTGCCAAAAACCTGCGGTCTTTCTTTCAGGTGCTGGGGAAACTAAAGGAGCACTATATTATGATTTCACAGTAGAGCTGAGTGAGCCTCACCAGACTTTAAAGGGTCTGTTCACCCAAATACCTAGCCATATTTTCTGACTTCTGTCTATTGATATCTAGCCATAAATATCATTTGGGGTTGCACCCACTGATGGTAATTGAAGGTTATTTATGCTACTGCCAGCATTGAAATATTACATTACTACTTTCAACCACAAAATATAGACACAATTCTTTGGACTATCCAGTAAATGGATGGATGTTTATGTGTTCGAATGTGTACTTTATGTGTATTTCATGCCATACAAACACATTTACATTCACCTGCATTGCATTAGGGTAGAGGCAGATATTTCCAGAAAATATATCTGAGAAACACAAGTGAATAAAACTCTCTACACAGCTGTAAGCTCTAGACAAAAACTGAAAAAATATTTCAATGGACATGTGTGTGTGCACAGCATTACAAACCCCCAAATCCTCTAACATGTTGCCCATTACACCTCAACTGTGAGGTGAGTGAGAGGGCCGGGCGAGCTGGGAATAACTAAAACAGTGGGTGCTGAGGTTTCAAAGTTGTCACATGCATGGATATAAAACATGTCTTTATGCTCTAGTTGAGGATTTCATGGTTGCTGGTGGTATGCGGAGGAAGATGATTGCTTCCAGACACCAGTACGAGAGAGAGGGTGGGAGGGTGGGGGGGGGGGGGAGGACACCCTCAAAGAGCGGGGAGTGGTAGGAGTCTTATGTTAGGAGGAGGACGTGGGTCTGGAAGGCCTTTTGGGATTCAACTCAGAAAGGAAGAGTGATATGGTCGACTTTTAAAACAGGAGATTTTTTTTAATATCTAAGAATTAATCAAAATGATTGATCGGGAAACATTGTTTAACCAAGAGGTGACAGAAAATAGATTACACAAACCTTCGCCACTATAATCTTATTGGAAAATAACAATAACCTGATATTGCAGGTTTAAGAGAGGACTTGTTCAGGCTCTTTGTATTTATTGTTTGTTTTTGAAAATACAGTATGCTTGTTCCTCAGGGTAATCTGTAAGAGCATGTCAAATCATTCCTCCTTTCACTCTTCTTTAACTGATATTGAGGTTGCGTGCTCGGCTCCACAATAACTATGACCTCACCCTCATAGCTACTTCTCTACGTGTGACCTTTGCCCTGTGAGTGTCTGGTTTAACTAGTGTACAATGGTACAGAATCCTGCTGTGCTTCGAGAGGAGTGTCATTCTTAACGCCATGCTTTCATCTGTATAGGAATCCACAATTTGCTGCATCAGTTCCCATGTTTAAATGTGTCAGTTGAGCAACGCACACATGTAGTGCATTAAATATGATTTGCATGAAAACACTTGTGAGGGTGTCATGCAAAATACAGGAATCTTGAAAAACATGTTGGACAGTGATGAAAGCTTCAATAGTAGAATTCCCTCAGCATAAAACCTTACACAACTATTTCAACGCTGTGTCCGACCATCTTAAACCTGACTGATGTTAATGTGAAGCTCCCTACATAAACACAAATCCAGCCTGCGGTGTTTAGTTCACACTAGTGGAAATGAAACATAACTCTTGCCCAAGAATAAACCGAGTGGTGATTGGTGTGATGTCCTATATGCAGCCTCTGGGAAACCTTCTGCTGTGTTTGTGCTCGTGTCTCAGCAGTAACTGTTAGCACGGTCCCTGAGAGGGAGCCTGGGAGATGGCCAGAAGTGTAAACATACCTCCCTCCACCTGTTGGCCTTCCAGCTGGGGCATCCCTGCGCCCGACAGGCCTTCTCTGTCCGCGGCCGAGGAAGATGACCGCAGTGTTCCTCCTCTATTTTGGTTTGGTTCTGATAAACACAGGCTATCTCCCGCTGCTTGGTCCCCCGACCGCAACTCACTGAACACTGGAGAGGGAAGTGGAGAGAGGGGGGAAGGGTGGAGAAAAAGGGGCATATTAGAACAGTGCTGTTGAAGATGAAAGATCTCGATCTCTTCTACGTCAACATTCATTCAAACAAAACGTTTTTCTAGGTACTTATGGACCATTTAGACCCTTGACAAAGTAGCACTTGCTGCCCCCAACAGCTTCCTTGTTGCATGTCATGGCCAAGTGAACTCACTGCAAACAAATTTAACTGAGCAACTTAAATGGATTTCACCAAAAGCTTTTGTCAAACACTCAAACGACATTGGAATGCAGCCAGCTATTTAACCTGTAAACAGAGGAATTACTTTTAGGGCTGCTGTGAAAGGCAGAGGCTGAGGCAGGAGGAAGAAAAGATGGAGAGTAAATGCATGCACACGGAGAGACAGTCATCTGGTACGAATAAGGAACCCAGAAATACTAAAGGAAAGCTAGAAAGCAAACAAGAAGGAGAAAAAACACGTTGAATAAAATCCAGACACGCTGACAGCTCTGAAAAAGGCCTTCGCCTGAGATCGCAGATGGTAATATATTCTCGAGTCTTCGGTCCTCATGAGGCCAGACAGCAATTAGGGTGCCCGCTATTTCTGCTTGACGAGTGAGCGCCCCTATACAAAGCCACTCCAAAAATGGAGTGCTGGAATCGAATACACAAGACAAGTAGAGTTGCATTTTGTCTTAGCATATTTTCCAGTCCAGATAATAAACATAATATTGCATTGTCCTCTAATTATGATCTCAGAATGTTGCATAACACATTACACACATTTCTTTCTTCAGTGTGCTCATAGTGCTGATCATACTACAGATGATGGAACATAGAAACCTAAAAGTACTTGGATTTCTATCTTTTTTCAACTTCAGTTTCTGGGAGATAACATTAATTTTCCCTGTTTAAAAAAACTTTACTGATGATGAAGTTTTTATTTGAACTTTTTAAACAAAGCCAACCCCAGCCTTTTATTTGTAAGTGTGTGGTGGGCAGTGGTTGACACTGCACACACATGCATCATGCACATTGTAATTACCGAGGCATTTTAAACACAGGCCCCTGGCTCAGCTGACGGAGAACATCAAAGCCGAGGGCCGGAGCTGACGGACTTCTCCTGAGCATGGCAGATTCGCATACACTCACTCACAATGATAACACAACTCCCTCTACCTCAGACAAGAGCAGAGACAGGCAAACATGTTGGAGGGGGGATGAGGCGGAGGGATAGCCCCTCCTTACTGCTGTAAAAGCAGGAGGAGAAAAAAAGAGAAAGAAAAAAAAGGAGGAAGAAAGGAAATCGCAGCCATACGGGCTGTGCTCCCCCAGCTGAACTGTATCTGCATTTGAACGGTGGGAGAAAAGACGCTATATGGCGATGTGCTCCTCCCTCCACCCTGCCAACCTCATCTGTCAGCCATTAGTTAATCAGGGCTGGTCGCACAGAGCAGAGAGCTGGCACCGCTCGTGGGACCAGAGGACAGCTTCACCTCTGAGAGCAAGAAGAGGGCAAGGACTCGGAGACCTCTGCTTCACCGAGGTACAGCTGGGCTGCTTCACTCAGCAGCAGCCACTCAGGTAGGACTATTCCACTTATCACTCTCTCAGCCGCTACAAGTGTGACAAGTTACCGTTTAGCTGCTTTATTGTCTTTGCTTAAAAAATAGTGGTGCCTGTGTTTGGAGAATGTCTAATTTAAAATGGATGACTTCATGTCCTTTGAAGGTTAGTGCCTGCTTATATAAAAGCATACTATGTATCATAATAGTATTTTGGGCATGTACTTAATCTGAATTATATGTCATAATCAGTTTACTATACTGTACCTTATATTCAGTTTCAACAAGTTGTGTTAGTGCTATTCTAAAGTATGTATCTACTGTTTTATTCTCTGTCTCTGTTGCTGTAATGTGAGTGTTTTGAATATATGGAAATATTCTTATTTTAACATGAAGGAAATCTCCTTGACTAAAACATAAATCAACTGGTCCCATGGGAAATAATCACTCTTGCTGTACGACAGATTTGCCCGCCCACGTTGTCCCAGCAATTAATTTCACATGATTAGGCAGGTTAGATCTACCATAATCCTGTGAGGTTCACCTAAGCCTAATGAGGATTACCGTACTCTAAAAAAAGGGATGACTCAACCGCTTTTGAGAAAGGAGTTTCTTCCAAGCAGAACAGAAAGTCTGCAGCGATAGACATAATTGATATGTAAATCCAAATGTAATGAACACACTGCTCTAAATGACTCTACTTAGTGGCTTTCTTGATTTGATAGTTTCACAGTTCTGAGACAAATCACATAAGTGACTGCTAAACCCGACCCAGTTCATTTATCCCTATTCTAAAACCCTGAAAAACTGGATATTAAAAAACATAATTTCGTACAGACAGATTTATTTTAAAAAAACGAATGTTCAGCCTTATATCAGATGCTTTCCTTTGTCTAGGACTGGCAGGCATCAACCTCAAGATGACCCCGCCCACTGCATTACTGAGAACAGGTAAGCCAATGGGACACATGGAAACTGTAAGGCATTTAAGAGGAACTCCACTGGGGTTTAAATATCTGTCACTCAGCCAATGTGGCTATCAAAGCAGCTAATACTGAACAGTACCTCCCACAGAGAAGGTGGATTCCACAAAACCAACAAAGATCAAGACGGATTTGTTAAATTGCATTTATTTGCTCACTTATCACTCTGGCCTTAAGCACTGCATGAAAACAAGTATTACTGTGAAAACTATAATTACAATACACAAGTTTTTTTGTTTGGTCGTAAAAGCAGAACAGTGTGTTTTGAAAACAATGGTTTATTGGGCCAATAAATAAAAAAGACCTCGTAAAATTATAATGAGAGGCTTGGCAAATTTAGCTGGGTCAGTGATAAAGATATCTGTATTTGATTATTGTTTGACATGCTGGTTTATTATATATGTTGCTACACATTGAAGGAAAATGTATAAAAAAAATGTAATAATCTAATGGGAGTACAGCCCAGTTAGTGATATATACCATGAAGGCATAGAATGAATGCTCTATAAAGTATTAAGGACATTATGTTAAAAGGCAACACGGACCACAAAAGAGTTTGTTAAATATGTGTTCAATATTTAGTGATTCTAAGTGAGACCATATCTTATAATGTGAGAGCCAAGGTCAAATTCCAATCACATTGCAGCAGGCTCGCAATGCAAGAGGATGGTAATACCAAGCATATGCTAACTGCAGTTACATAGACTTTTCAAAGGAGCTCAGTGTCGACCCGGAGCAAGAACAAACTTGCAAGTGTAGACCGTGAAGGGAATTATACCCTGTGCTACAAGTGTGTCAAGGCTGTAAGCTAACCACACTATTTAGTCAACCATGCTCCAGCTGAATGTTACATATCTGAACAAAAAATCATGCAAAGAGCAGGACGTAATAGTTAGGAACTGAATGCACTCTAAGATAGTGCCATGTCTTTTGTTATAGCTTAATCAGTATCAGCATGTCCTCTGGTGCATAGATTACATTTCAAATCAGAAACAAAGAAGGGAGGAAAATAAAGACGAAGAAGATTCAGGAGGCTTTTCTGCTTATGGTTTTGTTTTGCAGGAAGGTTTCAAAGACAGAAGTCAAAACAACACATGTTGTCAACATGGGAACAGCTGGTAAGAGCGGCTTCATGGGGCGGAGGAATGTCAAGAGTTATAGATATTTTATCCATCAGGACAAAATAGCCAGACTTGTTTGAAACTACGCACAGGAGCAGTGTGAAATTGAAATGATGCAACTCACCTCACGCTAACCATTACTAACTTTAACCATGACCAATCTCACAACATGCTTTGAACTAAAAAACCACATGATGTTTGTTTTTTTAAATACATGCCAATATACCCCCATGGAAATAAATGTGTATTCTGCTAACAGTAAAGTAATGAATTTCAGATGCCCAGTATTGGAGTGTCAATCAGACAGTCAGCTGCAGCGCTCTTACGATTGGCTAAAACTCAACAGTATATTCTGCACAGAGTATGACTTTGCCATATTTAAAGAGTTAAATAAACAGCCAGTTGAGTAGGCATGTACAGTTTCCTCAACATAGTTTCCTTTTTAAGTCAACACCACTCAGAAAAGATACACCAATAAACCATAAGTAAAAACCAAATGACAAAACAGCCCAGTTTCTCCGTTTGTCTAAACATTACTCTGAGAGCTTTTTCCATTACCGTGTTGAACTGAAACATCCAGCACTGCTCTCTACCCAGGTTTAAAGCGATGACTGACTATAGAAAATACAGAAAAAAGCTAATTCTTGATGACAGAATTGGAAAAATACAGCAGTGCAGCCCTAAACGTATAAAGCAGTGACCTTTGACACACAACATTCAAGTCTAAGTCCTTCTTCCTGCGAAACATAACACAGCTGCTTTTCCAATCTGTCATAGCAACCAGCTTGTCACAGCTTGCATACAGGGAAGTATGGACCATTTCCAAGAAGTGAATGATCATTGCTTTGCATTCACATTTACAGGGGAAAAGAAGATAACATATAGAGTAAGTGATGGAACACAAAGACAATTACAACTACATCTACACCTAGTATGCAAGTGTAGTTGTAGGGAGCTTTTGGGGAATTGAAGTAAATATTTCAGTGTTTTCCAAAATTGCGATTGCTTTTAATACTTGACTTTATTTATGTTTTTCAACTGTCTGAACAATATACAACAATTTTCCTTACGCAAATAATGAATCGATTAATCAGGGAAATAATTGGAATACCCAAGGGTGGACTGAAGCTTGAATGATGGTGCAAAGTACAGATCAGAAACTCAAATAGTACAAAACAAGTAAAGCAAATTCTCCTGTCCTCTGTGGTAAAGCTAAAACATCACATAGTCATGTATGTTGAGGTTGAAACAGAGGATTATCTCCCCGTTAGTGAGTTTGAACACCCAATCTGTCACTGTCTCACCACTAAGAGGGCTTCCTGACAGAG